GTCGAGGCTCTCATCATCCTCGGAGACAGGACGATAACTGTAATCGTCTGGGTCATTGGGCATGGTCTGATTATCAGGGTTATCATGCCCGTTGTCTTGTTCCTCCTGTTCGGATGCAGCCCCGACAGGGTCTTCGTTATTTTCGGCGTCGCCCGGAGTGCTATTCTCTCCGGTGCCAGTATTCCCGTCGTTTGAGCGACGAGGCTTAGAGCGGCGTTTAGGGTGCCGGCGCTTGGACTATGTCTCAGGAGGTTTATTCGCAACTGGATCTCCTTTGTCATCATCGCTAGCTTTTTTAGGTGTGTCGACCATGTACACATCGTACGAAGAGGTGGGCGTCCAACATCCAGCAAATGGCGGGTTTTGGCCTTGCTCCTGGTCGGCATCATCGTCCATACCGTCGATGTCTTCGGAGCCGTAATCGAGCACGTCGGTTAAATCATCGACAGTGGCTATGAAGTGGGTGGCGGGTGGGAAACAGAATTTCCCATCATCAGCCTCTCGCTCGAACCGAACATAGTTTGGATGTGAGTCCTTCTCTAAGGACAAATTCTTTAAAGAGTTTAGCACATCACCTAAGGGCGAGTGCTGGAAGTTGTCTGCGATGCTAAATTCAAAAATCGATAACCGATCCAGCTCGGTGTCCGCAGGCGTACCCGATTTGGAACTCATGGCCGGAGACGAGTCCAGAGTTTCATTGACGTAGACATCACGGGGTGCCGAGTCCGTGTGCGGCTCCAACGCCGGGGGCTCTGTGGCTTCAGATGGCACGGTTTGCTTCGGTTCTAAGGCTGTTGCAGCAGCAGGGACCATCCGCTGGATGTGATCCGATGACAGATTTAGGTCATGTTCATCGGAGCGAGGGGGAGCGATCACTGTGGTCTCAAATCAATTGAAGATCAAGTCTCCACGGATATCCGTGACGTAGTTCAGGCTTCCAAACCTGACCTGGTGGCCAGGGGCGTAGCTGTCGATCTGCTCCAGATGGCCAAGCGAGTTGGCCCGCAGTACGAAGCCACCAAACACGAAAATTTGTCCGGGGAGGAAGGTTTCTCCTTGGACAGCGTCGTTGTAGATGATTGAAGGAGCCATCAAACCTTTCGTGGATGACATAGTGGAACTCTCAATGAAAGCACCAATGTCGGTGTCAAAACCGACGGATCTCGGTTAGGGGGTCCCGAACTGTGCGTATAGGATCGATGGTAACAAGAGACAGGGGACACAATGTTTACTCAAGTTCGGGCCCTCTCTATGGAGGTAATACCCTACGTCCTGCTTGATTGATATTGATGAATATGGGTGTTACAAGAGTTGATCCACCACAAGATCGTGATGGCTAAACCCTAAAAGCCTAGCCTATATGACTATGATAATGAATGTGTCCTTTCCGGACTATCCCCTCCGGTTTATATAGACACCGAGGGGATTTAGGATTTACATAGAGTCGGTTACATAAGAAGGAATCCTCATAGTCGGTCACCAAGCTTACCTTCCACGCTAAGGAGAGTCCAATCCGGACTCAGGTATAGTCTTCGGTCTTCATGTCTTCACAGCCCATCAGTTCAGCCCATGGATAACAGGCCGGACGCCCGAGGACCCCTTAGTCCAGGACTCCCTCACCCTCCTCTTCGCCGATTCCGCGTCCAACTTGACGATCTCCTCCGGCGTGCACTCCGACCGTGGCTTCCTTGGCACCTTGGCCGCCTTCTTCTTCACCTTTTCGGGCGGGTCGACGGCCAGGCCGCCGGAATTCGGCTGGGCGTTGACCATGGACGAGGGAGGGAGGGGGTGGCGGGAGGGACATGGGAGGGTTTGCTGCAAATGGCGCCAAATGGGCGGGCGGGGGGTTTTGCTTTGTGTCACCGACAGGCGGGCCAGGGGAGGACAAGCGCGCGCGTCCCGCCCGTCCGCGTGCTGTCCGTTTCATCCCAAAATCAACGCAAACTTGGGCCGGGGATGGGTCGAAAGCAGACACAAAACGGACAAAAGTCCGTTTGCACCCGCGCGCTGGACCTTCTGGTTTGTCCCTTTTACTCCAAATGGATGGGGCCGGACAGGATGGGGTCGCGCGGTGGAGTTGGCCTCACAACCGTGTCATCGCACTTGATTTGGCGAGCCACCACCAACCCCACCCCTTCAAGTGTACGTTGTGAAATTGCTATGGGCCGATGACCGCCGCCCCAAAATCGCCAGAGGGAACCCCTGGTCGGATTTTTGTCCTCATTTCACTACGCCACCGCCACGGACGAACCATAGAACCATGTCACCACAAAAAACGCAACCGCCGCCGCTCCACCCAACCGTGAGACCATCAACCCCGACAAGCCCTAGCGGCAACTTAGTTACACCAACCAAAATTGAATACATTGCCCGTTCCTAACCCTAACACAAAAACTACTCCTACACCTCAAGAAACCCACTCACTCCCCCAAATCCCTAGCCCAAGCCCCCTAAGCAATCAGAAAGGTGGTGGGCACATACCTCGAAGCCTAGAGCAATGGCGTGACAGAAATGACGAGTTCGACGCCGGCAATTGATGGTGTGCGTATCACCGGGGAGATGGAGAGCCGCCACATGAAATCATAGGAGCAGGCGGAGAGTGAAAGGAGTGGGGTCATGACAGGGGGTTATGGTGGCTCAGTCGCGCGGTTGCCATGAAGAGTGAACGGTCACAAAAGCTGACGCGTCCATGCGTCAAGATTAGCGCGCTTCATCCAACGGACCACATATCATGGCGCCAAATCAGCCCGTGGGGAACGTCTGCTCCATAGATTTTTCAAAAAACAATCCTCGAGTAAATCTCCGAGTAGATCCTCCCTCCCGATAGCCCATTCCCTCTGCAGTACTTTCCGTGTAACGCGTACGAGGATCTCGTTCCTTCGCTTCGTGGCCGTATAACCTAACCTTTTTGGCCTACCCATCGCCGCCTCTGTAACTCCCCCCTTCCAAAGTTCAAACGCCTCAGCCTCCTTTTTTTTTTTTTGATCCAGCCGCCGCGCGCCTCCGCCTCACCCTCGCGGAGATGGGCGGCGACGGGCCGGCGATCGGCGTCGACCTCGGCACGACCTACTCGTGCGTGGCCGTGCGGCGGCCGTCCCACAACCGCGTCGAGGTCGTCCCCAACGACCAGGGGAACCTCACCACGCCGTCCTGCGTCGCCTTCACCGACGCCTGGCGGCTCATCGGCGACGCGGCTCTCAACCAAGCCGCAAGGAACTCCGTCAACACCGTCTTCGGTAAAATACCAGATCCGATCTCGATCTGCTGGTTTACTTGATTTTTCAGCTCGATGGGTTCGTAGGTCCAGTTCCCTGTCATCGATCGATCCTTTTCTTTGCCTTGTTTAGCTGCTATTCTTGTCTGTGGTATAAACGTCTAGAGATCTTCACTCCACAATCGTTCCGTGTTCAACTAACATTACCTGGTTTTATTTTAAACTGAGAAATCAGCTACCTCAAGCCCTCAACTAGTCATCAATCAACCCGTGCGCTGGCCACAAGTATGACTACTTGCATGATCATACCACCTTAGCCATAGGGTGAAGATTACATGATCCAGATTTCGTCGTCTTGTGATCAACAATATATGAGAACTTCAATGAGGTCTCCAGTTATTAAATATTTGTAAGCTGCATAAATATGATAATCTCAGTCTTCCTTATAAACATAATATAGGCAGGAATGGTTTCAGGTTTTTACTTTTTTAGCAAAGGAGACATCGAGTGCCATTCCAATTACATACACAAAAGGATTTGTTGCCAAAAAAATGCACTTATATCCGGGGAAGCTCATCGATCGGTTTGTACAAGGAAACTCTGAGATTGATGTGTGTACTATGTCTCTACATTTTGTTGGAAAATAAATCATGTTGAAAACCGTATGGAAACTTCACAACTACAAGTTTAATGCGCGACAGATTTAGGATGTTGTGAGCCCTTGACTATGACATGCATGTGGGCCTGTTTTGTGAAATGCATTGCAAGTTGTATTTTTAAGATATATATTTAGTTTAACTCAGTAGTTATGTAAAATGGCTTTGACATGTGTATCGTGCGACGGAAAAAATAGCGTGCTATTCCGACGTTATAGCATTGCTGTAGCATATCTGGAAGGGTCACGTTACATTTTAGCTAATTTGCTCGCTACGGCGCTATTCGTGCTATAGCGCGCAATTTTGACGCTAAATGAAATAATGTTGTAACGTTTTAACGTGTACTACACACTGCAGCCCATCAAGCATCATCGCATTGCATCGGTCCAACTCACTATCATTCTCTGAGACGTAAACGCAACGCATACTGCTAACCTAGCCAACTTGTCACTAATTTCCACCGGCTCGTGACCGAGGTCGGCGGCAATGGCGGCGGCGGCAGTTCGTGAGCCGCAACAGCTTCTATCCATCCCCCATCCAAGTACCGGCGTCGGCCACGCCTCCAACTCCAGCAAGACAGTGCCAATATCAACCACGCCGCCGGCTCCGGCAAGTCAGCCACCCACGCTTCTCTGTTTAATTAGGAGTGTTTCATTTCCTTAGAAATTAGGAGTGTACATGCCGTGAGCCTCTCGCACGATTTTCTCTTTAATTTAGAGTGTCCCTTTGCTTGTAAATTATGGAAGCCTTTAATTTTATGATATATTTGATATTTTTATGCAAAACGTTATTTTCAAATATAGCACGCTATAACTTGTATAGCATTTGAAGAAGGGCCGCGCTAAATCTTGTAGCATGCTATTCTTTTCAGTTGTATTGTGTCATTGTGTGATGCATCTTGTCCCTAAATATGGTGTAACAATGTTTTGTTATTATTATTATTATTATTATTATTATTATTATTATTATTATTATTATTATTATTTCTGCAAATTGCACTGCTGTAACGAACTGCTATGATTTCTTCAGATGCGAAGCGACTGATTGGCCGGAAATTCAGTGATGCGTCTGTGCAAGGAGATATCAAGCTATGGTCTTTCAAAGTCATTTCAGGCCCTGCTGACCGACCGATGATGGCGGTTCAGTACGGGGGTGAGGAGAAGCATTTCACGGCAGAAGAGATCTCCTCCATGATACTCGTTAAGATGAAGGAGACTGCCGAGGCCTACCTCGGCACGTCGGTGAAGAATGTCGTCATAACTGTCCCTGTCTACTTCAACGACTCCCAACGCCAAGCCACCATTGACGCCGGTGCGATTGCTGGCCTCAACGTCATGCGCATCATCAACGAGCCCTCCGCAGCAGCCATTGCCTACGGCCTTGACAAGATGCCCTGCAGCGGTGAAGTGAAAACGGTACTCATCTTTGATCTCGGCGGCGGTACTATGGATGTCTCCATCATCAGTGTACAAAATGGCGTCTTCACGGTCAAGGCCACGTCTGGTGACACCCAAATGGGCGGGCAGGATCTCAACAACCGGATGGTGGAACACTTTGTGCAAGATTTCCTCAAGAAGCACAGGAGTGACATTAGAGGCAGCCCGAGGGCGCTGATGCGGCTGAGGACGGCATGCGAGAGGGCCAAGAGGATGCTGTCCTCCGCGGTTGAGGCCAAATTCGAGATCGACTCGCTGCACGACAGCATTGACTACTATGGGAGGATCACTCGTGCCCGTTTCGAGGAGCTCAACATGGACCTCTTCCGCAAGTGCATCAAGCACGTCGAGAAATGCCTCAGCGATGCCAAGATGGACAAGTCTCAGATCCATGACGTCGTGCTCGTGGGCGGCTCCACCCGGATCCCCAAGGTGCAGCAGCTGCTCCAGGATTTCTTTGATGGGAAGACGCTCTGCAAGAGCATCAACCCCGACGAGGCCGTCGCCTACGGCGCCGCGGTCCAAGCTGCCGCCCTCAGCGGCGAGTGTGACCGCAAGGGGCAGGACTTCCTCCTGCTGGACGTCACTCCACTCTCGCTTGGGGTCGAGGTATATGACTGGCGAGTGGACCATTATATACCTGGTGTCATGAGCGTGCTGGTTCCCCGGAACACCACCATCCCTCTTAAGAGGGAGGGGCGATACACGAGTGGATTCGACAACCAGACGAGCGTGCTCATCAAGGTGTACGAGGGTGAAGGGGAATGGACCAAGGACAACAGGCTTCTGGGAGAGTTCATGCTCGAGGGCCTCGTCCCGGCGCCAAGGGGCGTGCCGAAGATCATTGAAATGATGGAAGTCGAAGCGAACGGCATCCTGAAGGTGACGGCGGTGGACATGACAACCGGGAGCAAGAAGAGCATCAACATCACGACCAACAAGGGCGGGCTGAGCAAGGAGGATATCGAACGCATGGTGAAGGACGCCGAGAAGTATAGGTCGAGGACAGGAAGAGGATAATGAAAATGAAGAAGGAAGACGACGAGGGCTGGCTGAGCAAGGCTGATTTTGAGAGGATAGTGCAGAATGGCAAGAAGCAAGTGAAGAAAATAAAGATGGAAGACGATGAGGGTTGGCTGAGCAAGGAGGACTTCGAGAGGATAGTGCAGCATGCCAAGAAGCAAATGACGAACATAAAGGAGGAAGCCGGAGGCCCATAGTGTCCTTAAAGGCTTAAACTACACATACAATGTGTAAAGCAATCCTGCTGCTTTTGCTGGAATGGATGCTTAGTACTAGTTCCTAGTTAGTACTGTTATTAATATGGAGTAATCGTCTATATAAGTTTTATGCGCACTGTTTGCTTGGGTTGCCCCACCCCAAAAAAATCTCTACATCAATCCCTCAAGTATATATGAACCAACTTACTAATACTTTGTGAAAGTCATATTTATTAGCAACTTTTCTTTGTACATTTTTGAAAAATATATAGCTGTTCATGACCTATGTGAAATCAAGAAATGAGAAAAGGAAAGCTCTACAGATCATGGCAAAATGGTCCTAATATTCTTGTACCGTAGAGCTTTCTAGTGTTACGATTTTCAGGGCATGCACAATGGTGCTATCTTAGGAGTGCCACGTAGAATAAATGATGAGATGGAGGAGAGAGAACTCATAAGAAAGGCTTGTCTTCTTTTATTTAAGATAAGATAAGAGATGATCTCTTAGCATAATTTGTCTCGCCATGTTTTAAGGAATTGCTAGTTATTGAAGATAAGGTTAAGATATAACCCATTGTAGACATATTTTTTTGTCATCTCTAAAATACATGCCAGATTTAAGATAAGACTGTCCTATCAACCATTGTACATGCCCTCACACGGATTGGAAATGAGACCTCCTATGTGACGCGTTCTGCAGCAAATTGCCGTCGCGACGCACACATGGAGCCCCGACTGGGCCGGCCCATTTAGGCACGGTGAGAATGTACATCGAAAAATCTGTCGGATGTGGGAATCGAAATCCTTACCTCTAGCTCAGTGCGAACACCTAATTTTTTTGGAAACATGAACATTTTTTTTAAATGGGAGCAAATTTTAAAAACCTGAACAAATTCTGATAATTATGAACTTGAAATTCTGAATTTTTGTTGAAATATGTGAACACATTTTGAAAAACAAGAAAAAAAATTAAATTCTGAACATTCTTTGAATTGTAAACAATTATTAAAAACTCTGAATGAAATTCGAAAATCTGAACATTTTTCAAAAGCATGAACAAATTGTGAACAATTTTTGAAAATGCGAACATTTTTTGAGATTCTGAAATTTTCTGAAAAGTTGTGAAAAAAATTTGTACCAAAACATGCCGAACAATTTTCTAATAACTGGAAAATATTTGAAAATCGGAAAAAATATTTTAAAAGGTTTTTTCTGAATTTCTGACCAAAACTTGAACTCACGAACAATTTTTAAAATTTGAACTTTTTCAGAATTTTCGAAAAAAAGTTCAAAATGTGAAAAAAATTGAAGAAAGAAAAAATAAACTTGAAAAAGGAAAAAGAAACAAAAAAGGAAAAAGATTAAGAAGAAAAAGAAACAGAAAAATGGGAAAAAAAGAAGAAAAAAAGGAAAACCGGCAAAAGAAAACAAACCGGTTCAAGGAACCTTCTAGAAAGTTCCCAAACCTCGATGACGTTGTACGAACTGCGAAGCAAATTGGGCCGGCCCATTGTGTCGGTCGGTTTTTGTCCTCATTTCTCCGCGCCGGACCTCACAACCATGTCACCACAAAAAATGCAACCGTCGCCGCTCCACCCAATCGCGAGACCACCAACTCAGACAAGCCCTAGCGGCAACTCAATGAGCCGACCAAAACTGAATGCATTGCCCGCTCCTAACCCCAACACAGAAACTACCGCCGCACCCCATGAGGGAATGTCTGTTCCATAGAATTTTGAAAAAACTCCTCGAAGAAATCTCCAAGTGATCCTCTCGATAGCCCATGCCCATTGCAGTACTTCCTTATACGCGTACAAGGATCTCGTTCTTTCGCTTCGTGGCATCGTGCTTTATAAGAGCATCTACAACGAAGAAGAACTTCCCCTCCCGGCCCTCGCGTCGTCCCCTTGGGCGACTCGGGGGCGACTAGGGTTCCGCCGCCGCCGCCACCCCCTCCACCCCTTCCTTCCCCTCGCCGCTACCAGAGGCGGCCGTCGAGAAGCCCGCACGGACGCCGGTGAAGGTGGCGGCGGGGATCTCGGCGCTCCTCCCCCTCTTGGAGGCCTGTGGTTCCTTGGGCGGCGGCCCTTGCCGGACAGGCGACGTCGTCGGGCGGTGGGCGGCATTCGCAGGGGGTGCTGGCCAGCGTGCCCGGCCGTGCGGGCGGCGGGTGGCTGGTGGAATTCGGCCACGGCGTGTTCTGCTTCGCCAGATCTGGAGGTGTGAAATCCCTATCCCCTGCTGCTTCTCTCTCGCCTCCGTGGTGGGCTAGCTTCGTCTGGCTCCGGCGTTGGTGCGTGTTGGTGGTCAGCCAGGGAACCAGGGGAAACCTTGGCCGGTCCGGCCGGCCCGGCGGCGGCAACGCCCAAGGGCGCTGCTTTCCTTCATGGGGGCGCAGCCGAGGTCCCCTGCTCTCCACCCCGATCCCCCTGCCCAGGTGAAAACCTTTATCCCCGACGGATTTGGCGGCGGCGGCGCCTTGCGCGTCGTGACCTTGCTGGAGGCGTCGTCAAGGGTGTGGGGATCGGTCGGGAGGTTATGCAGGTGAGGGATTGCGCTACCTCCTTTGCGTCGTTCGATTCCTGAAGCTTGTCTCCAACTAGTTGGGCATGGACTGTGGCGGAGCAGCCGGCGAGGTATATCCCAAATCGATGTGGTCATCCCATGTCCACCTTGCGATGCGAGGGCGACATTCTTCCAGCTCTAGGGTGAGCTTCTCGAAATCCCGATGGTGCGACGCCTACGAGCCATGGCGAGGGGGAAGGGTCCCTCTTCGGTGATTGAGAAGGAAGATGCTGGTTCCTTTCTTCTCTAAGTGTTCCTGGAGCACAGTCCATCCTCGAAGGTCGGCTATGTCCTGATGCGCTGCGCCGTTTCTGCTACATATGATCCTAGTGTGGAGTGCTCGGCCTTTACTAGCTGTTTGTGGCTTGTGGAGGTTGTAGTGAGTAGTCTTTCCAGTGTTCTCCGTTGTATTGTTCTGATCGTTGTAAATTGGGTTGTCTGCTGTAATTCCTGGCCGGTTGATGGCTTTGTTAATTCAAAGCCGGACTCTTCGCGAGCCTTCGTTCTAAAAAAAGAGCATCTACAACTGCAAACATAAAAATCCGGTGGCCCTAAAACGCCAGTGAACGCGCCTAAACGCGTCCATGGATAGTGATGGGTAGCACACCAAAATTTTCCGCCACAGCCATGAATCTCAAACTTTATGTCTCAAATCCATACTAGTCGTGTAGATAAAAACCTACGTACTACATACATAGCTAAAACTACGCATCATCGGAGAGGTCGACGATCTCCATTCCTGGCGTCAGGTAGACAGGCAAGTGCGACAACTCTTGCGCCCGCGGAGGCTCCGGCTCCTCCATCCCTTCTGCCTCTGCATCCAATTCGACGAACATCGCGTCTGTCACTGTCTGTTCTTGCAGGATGAACCATCGATTGGCCTCGACGTAGCCCTCACTCTGGATGGACTCCAGGATGGCGGTCTGCTTCGCCATTTTCATCGCTTGGGCGGCCTCGTACTCCGCTTGCGTGTCCGCCATGGTGAAGCCCGCAGTCGGCTCCTCCTCCTCCGCCATGGACTTCGCTCCCGGCGGCTGCACCCTCCCCCTCCCTCCCTTGCCTCCTCCTCCTTGCCGTCGTCCTCCTTCGGCTTGGGCGAATCCGGAGGAAGGCCCACACCGCAACGGCCTGCTCGCTTGCCCGAATCACCTCTAGCAGCTGCGGACGGCGCTCCGAAGTGAGCATGATGTAGGTGATGATGCGGCGCCTCGGCATGATGCGGCAGACGGATTGGAAGTAGCGGCAGTGGAGAGAAGAAAGGGGAAATGGGGCGGATAGGGTTCGGCTACCGCCGTCCGGCTTAAATAGCGGGCCTCCTCCCTTGCGCGACACGCCGGAGCGGCCCCACACGGCGTGGAGTGGAGGGGGCACTCGTTGGACTAGCGGTCTCTCAGTATCCTCATGCATGCCCTATCAGTCAGTCTGACGTGATGGACGTGTCTGAGCGTCACATATCCATCTCATAGGACGAATATGGTAAGTGTCGGTTAGTCCAGGCGTTTGAACCAAGGATGAAAAATCCATTTGGGTAAAAAATCGTCCGGACATTGACCCGATAGCCTGTCCGAACATTTATTCCAGCCATTTGGCCTGCCCATCTTCCCTCGCGGAAGCAAGGCCGCCTTCACTTCCATTCGGTTAAAAAAAGGGCGACACTGGGCGCCGGTGCGCCGGCCGAATGTTTCGGCCGGTCCGCTCCCAGCCGCCCGATCTACTGTACGACACCGTCAGATCGGAGCTCCTCTGCTATTTTTTTTCTACCTTATCCTCGTCTCCCTGAGCGCTCGCCGCACCGACCGCCCGTCAGGGTCGCCCCACGCTCCGGCACTCAGCTCGCCCCCGGCCGCTCGCCGCCCCGGCCGCCAGTTGGAGCTGACCGCTCGCTGCCTCCCGTCGGATCGCCATGGATGCAGCTCCGCGACTCAGCTCGTCCAGACCGTTCGCCGCCCCTGCCACCCGTCGGGGCCGCCCCGCGCTCCGGGACTCAGCTCGCCCGGACCGCTCGCTGCCCCTGCCGCTCGTCGGAGTGCCATGGATGCAGCTCCGCTCCGATGATTGGTTCCAGCAAAAAACAGAGATGCCCTGTGGTAGCATTTTCCTGTGTCAGTCGTAGCAAATGAAGACAACCGTTGCAGCAAAAAAAATCCATCGGCGTCGCCATTGTAGCAAAAATGTTAATCGGATGTAGCTTCCATGGTTGCCGGTTGCAGCAAAAAATGACGTGTTTGTAGCAAAAAAACACATCATCGTCGCTGTCAGGCCGCATCATCATCATGTGGTTGCAGCTACAAGGAGCAAAAAGGCTACAACCGCTGACGTGAAAAGCTTCAACCGGCTATGAAAAAAGTCTTAACTCATGTACGAAGAAACCTATGATAACCAAAAAGAAAGGTTACAACCGCTGACAGAAAAGCTTCGTCGCCAATCTGGCGACGAAAAAAGCTTCATACGGCCATGAAAAAAGTTTCAACCGTGGAGCCGGAAGCCATGGATGACGGACGAAAAGCTGCGACCGGCGTTTACAAAAGGTACAACCGGAATTGAAAAAAGCTTCAAACTTATTGTCTTAGCTATAACCATGGACGACGGCGAGGAGCGGAGGCGGTGACGCGGGGAGATGCTGCGGCCATGGTGGCTGCGAGCTGGGACCGGCTGGCGGGTGAGCTGCAGCCTTATGACAGAAGCATGGGGCGGCCGAGGGATGAGTGTGGTCTGCACGGGTGGCCGGCGAGCAGGAGCGATGGAACGGCAGCGACGACGGCGGCCGGCGGCGTGAGGAGCTTGCACTGGTTCGTGAGCAGCGACGAGGAGAGAGGAAACGTGGTTGTGGAGTCGCGGCTGAAGGTAGAAGAAAAGATAAGGGATAAGGATAGAAGAGGGAAAGTTGTGCGCGGCCTACCGCGTACACACGTTTTGCTTTTGCCGGTGTTTTCGTGGACGTTGGGCCAGCGTGGCGTGCGATCCGGCCGAACGGTTCGGCCGGCGCACCGGCCTCAAACGATTCCCTTAAAAAAAAAGCCCCCTCCTCCATCCAGCCGCCGTGCGCCTCTGCCTCAACCCTAGGATGGGCGGCGACGGGCCGGCGATCGGCGTCGACCTCGGGACGACCTACTCGTGCGTGGCAGTGTGGCGGCCCTCCCACAACCGCGTCGAGGTCATCCCCAACGACCAGGGGAACCTCACCACGCCGTCCCGCGTCGCCTTCACCGACGCCTGGCGGCTCATCGGCGACGCGGCTCTCAACCAAGCCGCAAGGAACCCCGTCAACACCGTCTTCGGTAAAATAACAGATCCGACTCGATCTGCTGGTTTACTTGATTTTTCAGCGCTAGTCTCTGACAGCTCGATGGGTTCGTGTTCAGTTCCCCTGTCATAGATCGATTCTTTTCTTTGCCTTGGTTAGCTCGTATTGTTGTACATGTCTAAGATTTTCACTCCACATCGTTCAGTATTTAACCAACATTACCTGGTTTTAATTAAAACTGAGAAATTAGCTACCTCAAGTCCTCAACTAGTCATCAGTCAACCCGTGCGCTGGCCACAACCCACAAGTAGTATGAGTATACTTATTACTTGAAGTTCTAGTTCTAAACAAAATATATATGTAAAGCGTGAAATATTGTGAAAACACAAGCACACTATTGAGAAGTCTTTATTTGAAATGTATGGTCCTTCAATGCCTCTGATAAATCGGTTTCCGGTCATGTTATACAGTGATATGTATGATTTTTCAGTTGTGTTACATCCTGATGACTTCAGATTTGTATACTTTGTCAAAACTGTTTCACTAAGATTGAAGTTTTCCATGTCAGAATCTTTTGCTGGATTTGTTTGAATGCTATTAATTCCAAAAAATGCTTACTTAATGTACATAAATTGTAACCCACATGTTTATGTGCTCTGTTGTAAACTTCTTTTTCTGCTGATGGTCGTCCAGACCGATTCCATATATCTAGTCTTCTGGTTCAAGATTATTTTATATATCTGTAATTCTGTATGCTCCAAACATTACTACGCGTCATATCCATATGATTGTGTGTGTTTGTGTGTGGCAAGTTTGGTTAAGATACCTTTGTAGCACAGATTCAAATCCAAGCTTGGTTGAGGGGCCTTTCTCAACACGCATATGGATACTAATCATCATACCACGTCAGCCATAGGGTGAAGATTACATGATCCAGATTTCCTATCGTATTGTGATCAATAATCGATGAGAGCTTCTATGAGGTCTGCAGTTATTCTTATAAACAGAATATACACAGGAATGGTCCCTGGTTTTTAGCAAAGGAAACATCGAGTGCCATTTCAATTTCACTACAAAAAAGGATTTGCTGCCAAAAAAAAAAAAGATGCACATGTATCGCAAATACTGAGATTGATTGGTGTCCTATGTCACTCCATTTTGTTGGAAAATAAATCGTGTTGAAAACTGTATGGAAACTTCACAAAATCACAACTACAAGTTTAATACGCAGCAGATTTAGGATGTTGTGAGCCCTTGACTGACATGCATGTGCTCCTGTCTTGTGAAATGCATTGCAACTTGGGTTAGTTTAAGTCAGTTGTTCTGTAAAATTGCTTTGAAATATGTATTGTGTGATGCATCTTGTCCCTAAATATGGTGTAACAATATTTTGATATGTTGCACTTCTGTAACGAACTACTGCGATTTCTTCAGATGCGAAGCGACTGATTGGCAGGAAATTCAGTGATGCGTCTGTGCAAGGAGACATGAAGCTATGGCCTTTCAAAGTCGTTTCAGGTCCTTGTGACCGACCGATGATCGTGGTGCAGTACATGGGCCAGGAGAAGAAATTCACGGCAGAAGAGATCTCCTCCATGATACTCGTTAAGATGAAGGAGACTGCCGAGGCCTACCTCGGGACGTCGGTGAAGAACACCGTCATCACTGTCCCGGTCTACTTCAACGACTCCCAACGCCAGGCCACCATTGACGCCGGTGTGATTGCTGGCCTCAACGTCATGTGTATCATCAACGAGCCCTCTGCAGCAGCCATTGCTTATGGTCTTGACAAGATGTCCGGCAGCAGTGAAGCGAAGACGGTACTCATCTTTGATCTCGGCGGCGGTACTATGGATGTCTCCATTATCAGTGTACAAAATGGCGTCTTCACGGTCAAGGCCACGTCCGGTGGCACCCACCTTGGCGGGCAGGATCTCAACAACCGGATGGTGGAACACTTTGTGCAAGATTTCCTCAAGAAACACAAGAGTGACATCAGAGGCAGCCCGAGGGCGCTCATGCGGTTGAGGACGACCTGTGAGAGGGCCAAGAGGATGCTGTGTCCACCACGGTGGAGGCCAAATTCGAGATCGACTCGCTGCATGACAGCATTGACTACTATGGGAGGATCACTCGTGCCCGTTTCGAGGAGCTCAACATGGACCTCTTCCGCAAGTGCATCGAGCACGTCGAGAAATGCCTCCGCGATGCCAAGATGGACAAGTCTAGGATCCACGACGTCGTGCTTGTGGGCGGCTCCACCCGGATCCCCAAAGTGCAGCAGCTGCTCCAGGATTTCTTCGATGGGAAGACGCTCTGCAAGAGCATCAACCCTGACGAGGCCGTTGCCTACGGCGCCGCTGTCCAAGCTGCCGCCCTCAGCGGCGAGTGTGACCGCAAGGGGCAGGACTTCCTCCTGCTGGACGTCACCCCGCTCTCGCTCGGAGTCGAGGTTGTGCCTGGTATCATGAGTGTGCTGGTTCCCCGGAACAGCACCATCCCGGTTAAGAGGGAGGGGCCATACACGACAAAATTCGACAACCAGACGAGCGTGCTCATCAAGGTGTATGAGGGTGAAGGGGAGTTGACCAAGGACAACAGGCTCCTGGGCACGTTTGCGCTTACCGGCATCACCCCAGCCCTAAGGGGCGTGCCGAAGTTGATTGAAACCATTGAAGTCGAAGCAAACGGCATCCTCAAAGTGACGGCGGAGGACATCACAACTGGAAACAAGAAGAGCATCAACATCACCACGGACAAGGGCGGGCTGAGCAAGGAGGAGATCGAACGCATGGTGAAGGACGCCGAGAAGTACAGGTCGGAGGACAGGAAGAGGATAATGAAAATGAAGAAGGAAGACGAGGAGGGCTGGCTGAGCAAGGCGGATTTTGAGAGGACAGTGCAGAATGGCAAGAAGCAAGTGAAGAAAATAAAGATGGAAGACGATGAGGGTTGGCTGAGCAAGGAGGAGTTTGAGCGGACGGTGCAGCATGCAAAGAAGCATAGGAAGCAAATAAAGCAGGAAGCCGGAGGCCCATAATGCCCTTAAACTAATTACATGAAAGAGGAAGGCGATGTGTTCTGCAATCCTACTGCTTTTACTAATGCATGCTTAGCAGTTAGTACTGGTACTGACATTGACTAATCGTTTATCTATATATCAGTCTTATGCGTTTTATGGGCATCAGAATACTGATGTTTTTATATTCTACTCCCTCCGTCCTATAATATAAGAGCATTTTTGACGCTCGTCGAGCGTCAAAAATGCTCTTATATTATAGGACGGAGGAAGTATCAGACTAGTCATTAGCCATTGGATATTTGGATTAGAAGCAGGATGTATGTTGGATCTATTACTGTAGGCCCGCGTGAGATTAGTTGTAGCCGCTAACTGAATGCTTCCTAACTGCTCCGGTAACCCACGCTCGGGTTATTATCTCTCTCCATCTGTTTCTTTTTCCCTAAGACGTTGCTTCCTTGTTGCATTGCTTTCTTAAAGCACGCTAGGTTACCAGGTTCAAGCACCAACGATGATGGAAGCATTACTTGTGAGAATCACTACATCTGATCTTTTAGGAAACATAACCACTAAATTCTAAGGTATAACCCCCAAAGATGATGCTTCTACTGTAGGTGATGAATCTCCAAAATCTTCCTGGTTGTTTCTATTCCGTAACACATATGGCAATGGAAGCATTTTCTTTTCTTGTTTTGAATTGCAATGGAAGCATTTTCTCATGAGATGAAAACAATTTATGTAGCTATTGATGCAAACATTTATTCGACCAAATTACCCCATGATTGAGTCTATTCCATAGCCCAACATTTTTCACATTCCATGGAAGTTATTGGTGCAAACATTTTTTCAACCAAAGGGCGCATACTTATGTTTTGTAATGGAAACATTTTTCAGTGTCAATGAAACACTTCTTCAGGTCGGTGCTTCATACTCAATATTTTCCACAAAACGTAATAGAGCTTCATTGCTTATCATCCGATGTGTCATTTAATTTGCTTCATACAGAAATTAGTAAAGATTCATTGCTTATCATTCAATGCTTTGGTTACACTTACACAAGCTTTGCCATATCTCAATATTTTCTGCGATGGCAGACCAACGCATATGCAGTATATATATTAGTTGCTTTGGATTGTTTAAACACGAGGGAGAGTGAGGGCTGACGAGGGAGATATTTCTGGGTCAATCCACCCAACCGCGTTCAATCCGCCCAACCCCACGTCCGCTGCAGCCCACCTCTTTTCTCACGCGAGACACATTACAGAGCTGGGCCCGTGGGCAATGAAGGCCCACATGTCATCCAATGAAGCCTGAAAGCACAATGTACACAACAGCCAACGACCAGATTGTTGACAGCGTCGTAAAAACATACGACCGCGATAGATCGTTCGATCAATATTCACCGCACGAGAAGATGCTCCAGAACGGCGGGTAGTCTAGCGCCGTTTATATGTTAAATTGCTTCAAAACTCTCTGCTTGATGTTTCGAGAGACTGGATCACATGTGTCGCAGCGATCAAATATGGGAAGGTTGCCGACATGCTGCCTTGTCGAACCGGCGGCGGAGGGAACAGTGACGACGTACATGTAGCTATGGATTATCCAAGTGCTTTCCACAAATGAGGGTTTTCCACATGTCGGGAAGACCTAAGATAATATCGTTTAACCGATCAGCCGCATATCGGCTCTTGAGAATACACTGGTTCCCGTGCTTGTTACCTGAGAACATATGAAATGTAGTATGTTAGCAAATCTGAAAAAATGGATTAGATGAAATAAACAAATGCACTCGCTATCTGATGAAAATAATTGTATGGAAGCAAGGCATTAGAACTAAGAATGCTTGTTTGTTGAATGCAGCACAACAAGCAATAATGTAGGAAGCATGGAAATATGGAAACTCAACACTAGTAGACAAGAAAGTAAGATTTGTAACATCCTAAGGCCGGCCCTAGCATCTCGGAGGCCCTAGTGCGAACATGGTACAATGGGCCCTACGGTCATACCTTACGTCTCCATGTTGGCAGCTGCACGTCGCAGCCGCAAGTTCGTTCAAACTATTCCTTGGCCCGACGAGAGAATCGACCTCGACGACCTTGGATGTGAACGAGGGCATTTTCCAATGCAGTCTTCGTAGCAACAATGCAGTCAAAAAATAGATGTATAGATTCAACAGCCGCACATATTGTGTCACCAGAATACATTCCTGAAGCCTAGAGCGGTTTGGGTTGCCTGTGATCTCTGTTTTAATTTCGATCGTGTTGCAGTGGCGCACCACCGCGCACGTGCTGCCCGGGAGCGAAAGGAAGGTTTTAACTTCCGGCTTGGCGACTGCGAGCCGCTGCGCTTCTCCCGTGCGCTCCGAGACGGCCACGGTTGACTCGTCGCCTTGCAGCGGCCCACCCGGACGCACTCCGGTGGCCTCCCCCCTGCCACCTGCGGTGCTCCTGGGTCCCTACCTTGCGACCTCCCCTGTCCGTGCGGGCCCTGTGGGTGCCACGGCTGTGTCGCCGACGCTGGCCTCCTTTCCGGCCTCCCCTGCCCAGGCGGGCCACCTTGGCGCCACTGTTGCGGTGCCGGAGGGCGCCTCCACGCCTGCTGCCGACGCCGTGCCGGGGAGCGCTGCCATGCCTGTTGCCGACGAGCTCGGCCGGTTCCTGGACTAAATTGCTGCCCCCCTGCAACGCCCCTATTGCCTGCCCCGGCGCCGAAGCCAACCAGGACTCGTGGAGCCAGAGGCGTCAACCTCTCCTCGCTTCACAGGAGCGGGAGGATCGCTCAAAAGAAGACGCGACAGTGCCTTCAGGGCAACTCGGCGGTCCAGGAGCTGTTTGCCCGTGCCTGCAACCTTCTCGGCCTGGAATCGGAGATGGATGCCGGGGTTCAGTCTGCCTACGAGGCGCTGTTCAACACACCACTTGTTGCTCCTGTCATCCAGGCGATCGAGACTCTGGCGAAGCATGTCAAGGCGGCGAAGACCAAGCCAGGAAAGAAGATAGCAGATACCAACGAGGCCCCTGGTGTTGCCAATGTGTAGTTCTGCCATGTGTGTCGTAGCTCGCAGCTCTGTCTTCGCTGCTTCCTTTCATGCTCTTCTGTCCCTATGTTTGCGTCTCCGAGCCAACGCATCCTCATCCTGGCATCCCCGCATGCCTCCCCAATGCATGTTACTTGTCTTCGAACCCAACGTGAACTCCGTTTTCCCATATGGAGCAACCTAATGTCAAGCTTCTGTGTTGGAATGTGCGTGGCCTAAATGCCCCTGCCCGTCATGACGTCGTGCGTGACCTCATCCATGACTACAACGCCACCATTTTGTGCCTCCAAGAGACTAAGCTCGATCACGTCGACGATACTCTGATTGCAAGCATGCTCGGTCCCTCTTTCATGGCTAGCTACCATGTCCTCCCGGCTATTGGGACAAGGGGGGGCATGATCATGGTCGTCTCCGACGCTTACTTCCGCCTTGCACACTTCCAGGCCGTGCTTGGTTCCATCTCGGCCACCGTCACCATGCCGGCTGACGGCGTCGACTGGACCCTGTCATGTGTTTACGGCCCTCAGGGGGAGCAAGACAAGCTTCTTTTCATCAACGAGCTAAGGGGGCTAAAGTATTTGGTGAAGCCTCGGTGGCTCAACTTCAACCTCATCACCAAAGCGGCTGACAAGAACAACCGGAACATCAACAACCGCCTCATTGGTGGTTTCCGATCCGCGCTAAATCACCTTCAGCTAAAAGAGATGCGGCTTCCAGGCCGTAAATTCACTTGGTCCAATGCTTAAGAGAACCCGGTGCTAACCAAGATTGATCATTTCTTCCATTCTGATGATTGGGATGAACCTTTTCCCAATGCTCACCTCCAGGCCATCACGTCTGGATGCTCGGATCATGCACTGCTATTCCTCCTTGGGGACACGGAGGCACTACTAGGGAAAACCCTAGTAGTAGCGCGGGTTTTGAGGCTATCAGCAATGCGTGCAGCCGCGCTACCAATAAGGCGCTACAGCTAACTGTTAGTAGTAGCGCGGTTTGCACCAGCGCTACTACTATTGATTATATCAGCAACGCTTTTCCAGAATATGCTACTATTAGTTATTTGTAGCGCTTTCCTAGCCCTGCGCTACTGCTATGTGTTTCACCATTTTTCTCCGCATCCTACCCAGTTTCAGTTTCAATAAACTGCAATTTCCAGATACTAGGTACTACTAGATATCAATTTCATAAAGCATTATAGGTACTAGGTAGTGATACGTCTCCAACGTATCTATAATTTTTGATTGTTCCATGCTACTTTATCTACTGTTTTGGACTATATTGGGCTTTATTTTCCACTTTTATATTATTTTTGGGGACTAACCTATTAACCGGAGGCCCAGCCCAGAATTGCTGTTTTTTGCCTATTTCAGTATTTCGAGGAAACAGAATATCAAACGGAGTCCAAAGGAATGAAACCTTCGGGAACGTGATCTTCTCACCGAACGTGATCCAGGAGACTTGGACCCTACTCCAAGAAGTTTTCGGGGAGGTCACGAGGGTGGAGGGCGCCCTCCTGGGCGCGCCCCCTGCCTCGTGGGCCCCTCGGAGCTCCACCGACGTGCTCCTTCCTCCTATATATAACTGCGTACCCCCATTAGACCAAAGACGGAGCCAAAAACCTAATTCCACCGCCGCAACTTCCTGTATCCACGAGATCCCATCTTGGGGCCTGTTTCGGAGCTCCGCCGGAGAAGGCATCCATCACGGAGGGCTTCTACATCAACACCATAGCCCTTCCGATGAAGTGTGAGTAGTTTACTTCAGACCTTCGGGTCCATAGCTAGTAGCTAGATGGCTTCTTCTCTCTTTTTGGATCTCAATACAATGTTCTCCCCCTCTCTCGTGGAGATCTATTCGATGTAATCTTCTTTTTGCGGTGTGTTTGTTGAGATCGATGAATTGTGGGTTTATGATCCAACTTATCTATGAATAATATTTGAATCTTCTCTGAATTCTTTTATGTATGATTGAGTTATCTTTGCAA